CGAGATACGCCAAGACCCCTTTATACGCAGCGTTGATAAAATAATTATTAGGGAAATAATCAAAGTGCTCGGAATCGGATAAGTATAACGATGATTTATTATAATCCAAAACATTAAACTAAGGACTAATGGTAATAACGACAATAAAAATAGTAGTTAAAAAATAAAATTCACGGACAATAAACAAGTATAGCAATGAATTAATTCTCGTATTTGTAAGCAGGATTCGATAATAATAACATATAACCTTACCTTATTTACTTACATCGTTCTTCCGTACAAATTATCCAACTCAACGCTGCGTATAAACGGGTCTTGGCGTATCTCGATGTACTATAACTCAACTAGAAACCAATAGATATGACTTTTGGTATATGCCGAATGGTATTATAGAATTGACATGTTTATAATTTCTTGAGGAATATTTGCAATTTATTGGGATTACTCGACAAGCCTCGAAAACGCAATCGTTGCGCTACGCACCCTAACATATTTTCCATTTTATCTCTTAATTTTGTTGCTAACATGGACCTTTAAGCTTGCTTTCTGCACTTAATATTTGAAAAACCCAATTATAATTTACTATTACTGATAATGTCTTTTTTATTCGAAGAAGTAATTCAGTAATAAAACTAGAACTATTACTATGTGAAGGCCGTGTGTTACTTTTCAGAATATTTATTATGTTAAAAAAATTAGTACGCATTTTCAGAATTTGGAATAATTACGTGCTGAAATACAAAGACATAGATGACCAATAATTTGAGTGTTTTTTTGATTTTTTAATATCACGTCATGGTCTTGATATTGATCCGAAAGTTTGAAACAGAAGTTACAATTATTTGTTGAATCAATTTGTCAATTTTAGGCCTTAATCGTAGTCTTCGTTCTTCAACATAATCAGTGATTTCCAGTTATCAATAAATGAGACGTTACCGCAGACCAAATTGGTGCAGATGTTCGTCTAGCTGCAAGTCTTAATCAAAATAAACTCCAGTATAAAGGTTAACATTTGCTTGTACCAGCACAGATACTTAAACTCTGAAGTCGGAAAAGCTGTTTTTATAACTAGCATTCTATTTTTATCATCAGTAAGCTTTCTTCTTTCCATCTCAACTTTGCCCAAATCTGAGTCATAAAAGACTTTTGATTGTAGTGTCTTACGTGTAAAGTAATCGTCTAAAGAGTCAAGTAGTAAAGACAATTCGGGAAATACTTGCCCACTTTTCACTGTGCTGGGCTGATGCATCTAAATTTCCTTTAATCATATATGTACTACTGACTAATATCGTGTGTAACAAAGTAATGCTAAAACTTGAATTGAGAAAAAAAAAGCTGCTTTTCAAAGTTGCAGAATTTCTGGAAATGATGCGGAAGAAGAGATTAAAGTGTCTGACAAGGAGGCTATCAAGTGTCTTGAGAAGCTTCGGAATATACCGACCAAAAGAATAGTTTTATTCGAATGGATTCGTAATAAAATGACATAAATTGCCGGATAAGTAAAGATATATATCACTGTTATAAACAAATTTCACTGTATATAAATTTTATGCACCTCGACTGAGAAATCCAAATGTCATTTTCCCGCATTGTATTAGTAACAAAAACAAGAGCGAAAAAGGTTTAAAGCTATTCAGGTTTTGATTGAGTTAATTCAAGCCTTAAGACTAACGCATTTGATTAAAATGGGTTTTGTAATAGTGACGCAGTAATAAGTAATTTTGATTTTTTACATATTAATAATAAACTAACAATTTTAAAGATCATGTCAAGCATGTAATTATCTTTGTATCCGAGATACAAAGAATGAAGTGCAAGGCATACAACATTCACTACACTCGATCTTTTTATGGCCAGTTGTATCTCGCAATGCAATGGACTTAGGACATACCAGAATTGTTATACGATAAAACCTGTAATTGATCTTTTGTAGTAAAATTTACTTTATTAATTGTTATGTCGAAATATTACAACATTTGAATCTAGTAACTTGCTTTTGATCAATCAAAATCGATAAGCAAAGGGCCTATGACAAATTTAAGATTTGGCAAATTCTAGACGCCGGTACAAGCAAAACGTAACCATAATGATATTTCTCAAGTTCAATCACAACGGCATGATTAGAACACTGGTTACGGTCAATTTGACTAATGGACTTGAATATGGGTTGTGTCTTTCAAATGTGATTAAAAGAGTACAGTTTAGAGAGAGAACTGCAAGTACGCTTCAACCTGATTTTATTTTACATGGCAACAGATACACTAAATAGAATCAACCAAGTAAAATTTATTTGTCAAGTCATCAAAAGTTTCCTTGATAATTGCCTCACCGGTCTTGAGTCCGAGATGCGTGACAATGACAGCTTTCCCTTTCCACAGACCAAGAAGTTGTCCAGAAACTTCATACTTCCAGTTTTTAGTTCCGCAGGCTATAATTAACTCGTCTTTGAGATGCGGCGTCATATCGTGAAGTACCACGTCAAATGTTATACCCAAAATATTCAGCGTCCATATAATTTGGATTTTGTAATTATTCCAATTGTCGTCACAAAACCCAGTGTTCCATTTTCCCATTAATACAGTCTTTCCGACTATTTCGGTAAACGTAATTATTCCGTTCACTTTGTGTATGTCAGCGTGTATAAACACTGCTTTCGCAACATCTCCAACTTTGCGTGTGGCCGGGTGAGCGTATAAAGGCGTCAACAAGGCAAAAAGGAGGACAAATATCGTGAAGACATTCTGTTGTTTCATTTCAAACTTGTGTGTTATAATTACATGAAAACGATATTGTCTTTGTCACTGATCGATAGTTACGAGTAGTTTGTGAGGTTATTATGTTGCGTACTGTATCATAAGAACGAGCTCGTTGTAATGGAAATCCTTTGTGTATATATATTATATTTATAGTACAAGTTTTACAATTGACGTCATGTGACGGAATTAAAATGTTGACTTATGACAATGTTATCTCAACCGTAGTAACAATTGAACAATGTAGGGAGTTGTTTATTGTTATTATAGGGGTACTAACGCATAAACATAAACAAAGATAAGCGATACAGTCTCGAGCTCACAACTGACGAGTAATGAAGAAGCATTGAGTGATACCATATCTTCAATTAGCAACGAATGATTGGGCAAAAATGTAATCATTCAAATCTTAAATCTAGTGTGTTCTAAACATGATATTATAGTATAATTTCTCCGCTTCAACGTTTTAGCAATCGCAAAATTTATGTTAATATTAACGAGAACGAGCCGGAAAACTTAACTAAAACATCCGGGATGAGTCAATCATTACTAACTGCGATATTAAAATTTTCTCGTAAGATGTGATCAGTAGACACTGCACGTTCATACTTTCGAATATTTGACACACACAAATTACTTTTTCCGGAAGACAAACAAAATACAAGTAGACATAATAAAATGTTACATGCTAAAAAAGAAGAAAGTAGAGGTAGATATACCCGAAAATGAAAACAATTTAAACCCCATCAAAAAATTAAAAACATTGTGAATTTTGTTATACAAATTACTATATAATAACTACCGTTGAGGTTAGTGTTTCAGAGATGGGGTTACGTCAAAGTCGTTACAAGTTTTTTACATTTTAGATTAACAATCAAGTTTACGCGTTTGAGACCATGTATGGATTTTTTAATGTCAAAAATTTTTTGAAGTAAATTTTGTTTTAGGTATCAATAATGCTATATACTATACATGAAACTGTATTTTGATTAGATAGTCGTATGCATTAGTGGATATTATGATAAGAGTATGTAAATCGGTTTTCCACTGAGCACGTTGTTTTATCTTAAAAATTTGCCAACTTTAGTTTTTTTTAAATGTGAGAAAACCGTTCGTAAGGGCAGATATTACAAATAAGCAGCTCGTGGCATGCTCGAGAAAAATTATGGTTATCTGTTATCACGATTGTGACATTACATAAAAAAGCAAGTTTAATAAATTCTATTACAAAATTTTGTGTCATAACTCCATGGTGTTTTGCTTCAAATGGTGGGGGGGCGGTACTTTAGCCCGTAAAATTCAACAAGAGCGTTTAAGATAAAATTTTGCAGAATTAATCCGCAGTTAACCGTATTGGTTTGAATAGATGCGACGATTTATTAGTGCAAATTATAGTACAGCTACGCGAGCCCGAATATCGGAAAACAAATATCTTTGGTCACACGGCGTACGTCTGCGTGTGTGTGAGAAATTGATTTGGTGCACATAACATGTAAAGTATTGCTACTGCGACAGTTGTTGTTACAATTTATAAGTTTAAGATGCAGTATGGTGGGGGACACATATACGCATCAAACAAAAATTGATGCATTTCCAACAGTAATACAAACATTACTGTATTAATAATTCAAAATTTAAGAACGCCATTTTGTTCTTCTTGATAAACATTAACAAACTGCGTTTAGAAAATTGACAAATGTTACATGTGGTTTGACATATAACTGTTCAAAGTTTGGTTAATTTA